ATATACTGTATACTGTTTTTTTTTTTTATCAAAACAAAAATTCAGTAAAAATAGTAATACTGTGAATGTCACGCTCACACACTGTTTGGACTGTGTTTTCATTTTTGCATAATCTCCCTTAGTTAGATGTCATGGTTGTTAATTGATTTGTCATTTAGTTCAGCTGTGTGCACCTCATTATCGCCAATACTTATGCCGGGTTCAGACTACACAATATTTTTGTCGGTCACGTGCTGAAGCGCTTCCGCTATAGTTCGCCAGCATTTTTCTTTCTTTGTTCTGTCGTGGTAGTCCCTCAATGACACATCATACAGGCAGGAGTACTGTTGCCACAGCTCCACAAACCTTTCCTCCGTCTCATAATTCCACCTAGCATCACCATCATCTCTCTTTCGTTTCGCCATGTTTGAAACCTGTGTATGAAAGAGCTTCTGTGCTGCTATTGGTCAACGTCACCAATGTGACAGAACTCGTCGTGGACGACGGGAAAAAAATTAAACATGCTAGTCTTTCTGTCGTGATGTCGCGAAGCATCGCAGACTCGGAATCGGTTGTCGTCCACTATGACACACTACACGAGCTGAAACGATGGAATCTTGCGTCCCGACACCCATTGTCATTTACGAATCCCCACAACACCCTACGTCAAGCAAATCGTAGGAAAATCTGGCTAAAATCGTGTAGTCTGAACCGGGCATTAAGTTCTCTCTGTTTCGGTTCAGTTTGTCCTGCCTCGTTAATGCTTTGTGGAAGTTTATCCTGTGTTCCTGTTACCTGAGAATTGCATTAAAGGACTTTTGATCTTTCATCATTGTCTTCGTGTTCATGTTCGCTACAAACTGCGACATTGAAATATTATTACAATTTAAAGTAACATTTTTATTTTATTATCATTTGATATATATATACCCTTCAGAAATCATTATAATATGCTGACTTGTTCAACAAACTTTTTTTTTTTTTTTTTTGTATTATCAATGTTAAAAACATTATAATATTTTTGTGGAAATGGTGATACCTTTTTCCAGGATTCTTTAATTTAATTGAAACCGAATAATTTGTAACATTTTAAATGCCTTTACTGTCACTTTTGATCAATTTAATTCATCCTCAATAAATAAAAGCAGGGCCTAAAACTAACTTTTTGCCACACCTGTCAATGGCCGGTGATGTGATAAAATTTACCGGCCAAATTTTTTTTTGATCGGCCATGAAACTCTTTTTGCAAAAACAGGCAGTCATTACTACTACAGTGACTAAACATATTTACAATGTTTTTAATTTGTCCTTTACTTTACTTACAAGAAAAAAACAACAAACAGATTTATTGATTTATATATTTTAATTTTTTGTCCCTAAAAAACGTTGAGATTCTTGCTCGGCAAACTGAGCAGGCCATCGTGTTACACCTGTTTCACACATACTCAGTTTGCAGTGCGTATGTGGTGCGTATTTTTTTCCGCATCCATGTTAACAGATTAGAGAAGGGCTAAATAATTAGCTTCATTTGAGGGCCGAAATTATCAAACTGAAAATTTGAAGGGGGCCAAGGGGGTGGGGGCCGTCCCGATCTTTCTGGGGGGACCTATAAAATTAGAAATTAAATTGAATTCGGAAACATTAGTGCTGTCTGTCAATCGATTAAAAAAAAATAAAAAAAAATCTGTAATTAATCATGATTAATCGCATATTTATAGTCAAAATTTCACATTTAACCTTCAAATTAATGTAGAAACAACATAAAGATAGAATATTTTAAATATGTTTAAATGGCATCTTTTTACTAAGTAGTATATTATTAATGAAGTATTGATACCAATACTGCTACTGGTGTCTCTATTTATTAATACATTTCCCTCAATTTCACCTATTAATTATAGCCATTCAACATTACAGTATAACTGAAAGCCATTATTTTTAACATTTAATAGGCTCTGAAATATTAAGTGATTTTAAAACAAAGTTGTATATGCATAAACTATACAGATTATTCTTTATTCAAGCTACAAAAGTTAATCAGCGCCTAGAGCAGTCGAGCTCTTTGTTCTTTGATTTACATCAATGACAGACTTCAGCAGGTTTTACTTTAAAAGCAGCGCTGCCTCTTTAAAACCTGATGCACATGACGCGGATCTGACACATATCTTGTCCAAACTCTTTATGGTCATTTAAGACTTTATAACTCATTTAAAACTACATTTACGAGGTTACTCGCCAAAACCGCATATTTTGACATAATTGTGTTTTCGTCCGCTGAAGCGCTACTGGTGCGCTGTCTAAAGCAGCTCAGTGTCTGTGTACAGCCGAACGAGCAACCTTTTAAACTATAGCCTACTTCACTTCACCGTTTCTGCGGCGTAACCCCAGGTACGTGTCGCCACATTCTCGGGTTATGAAGAACAAAGAAGGGAAAAGTTAATCTTCCGAAATGAAGCAGCAATATCTTCTCAGGTAAAAGTTATTAGAACCGTGTCTAGGGGCAAGCTGGCCATCACTCTGCTCTGACCTTATCAGCCCGTTTGTATGTGTCGCTTATGACAGAACAGCTAACCAATCACGATGATCTTGTCTTCGGAAAAGATTATTTTATTCGCTTACGTCAGAAACAGCGAATCTCTTTAAAAACGGGCTGTTGTTCCCACTACATTGCATTGTTATATTTCGTAAAAGTTTTTTCCTGCCAACTGGCGACTGACACTGTTTCATATACTCGCCAACGCTGATTTTTACTCGCATTTGGCGCTTGGCGAGTGTTAATTTTAGGCCCTGAATAAAAGTATTAATTTCTTTAAAAAAAAATCTTACTTACCTCAAATTTTGAACGGTAGTGTATATAAAATTGTTAATCTAATTACAAATTGACTATTGTCTCCAATATTGTTGAGCTGTGTACTTTCACTTAGAATTACTACAGTGTGGCACTGAATGACATGCTTGATCAGCTTAAATATGCCAGGAAGAAACACACACACAAAAGACTGCTTGAAGCAGAGAGAATAGACAGATGTCACTTTAAAATAAACCTTAATGTTTTAACAGTCACGATAAATAAGTAATGGATGTGTGGATGACATCACTTCTCTCTGTCTCTCTCTGGCTGTCTGTGTCCTTCATTGTCTTTGACCTTCTGGTGAATGCTACTCATAAACCACCGTACTTTCCCTGACAAATTCAGCCCAATGCTGCGGTAGATGAGGATGCTTTCAGACAAACCAAACTCCAGTTAGAATCTGAAGTATATACATATGTGCATGCACAAGTACAGATTTTTGCAGAGAAACAACGTCATCAAGCCTCCAACCTGTCATATAGACACCACTGTTCAATAAATTCCCCAAGAGTACAACAGTACAATATCAGTTAACCAAAGCAAAAAAACAACACTGACTTTAAGTTGAGCATTTAAATGTTTTTGTCTTTCTGAGTGTGTGAATTCAAACCAGGGTTAAAGGCTCACCCATATGTTTTCCGTTCATGTGGTAGTAGAAGGAGACACAGTAGGGGGTTCTGGTGGTCCCCGTTGGTCCTCGGGCTGCTGTAACATTATACAATGGAGAGAGGAGACGAGCTCTATCCCCATCCTGGCGCGGCCGCGACGTCTCAATGTACATGTAGTAACCTTTATTGCAAAAGGAAAGTACAAAACGCTTGTGTTACCACAGGGTTTTTCAAAGAGGGCAGAAGCTTTCACAAAATAAATAATTATACACACAGAAAAAAAAAATTGTATTAAAAAAATTAAAAAGAAATAATAATAAAAGAATAAAATCTGCTTTCTAAAGATTCTAAAGAAATAAAATGAGATTTGGTTTTGTTTTTGTTGTAATACAAGTGTATCTTTCTATGGAGTTTCTCAAGTGGAAAAATTCTCTAAAGAATTAAAGGTAAAGGTGCTTTGGAATAATTTTTAGTTTGAAAAAGTGCTATAAAAATACATTTAAATGACAAAGAAAAAGTTCTCTTTAGATATATAAATCTATAATTACGTCAATAGTGGGCAGAAAAAAAGATGTCCACTTTGGTGTGTGTTTTTACCTTCTTTTGTCCCACTCCTGTCCGTATCCGGCCCTGTATTAACCGACCGTTTGGGGTTCTGTGTGAGATGGTTCTGTCTGGTCCAGTCAAACACATCTCTGCGGTCTTGAGTGAACCCACATATCCTAATGTCCTCAAACCCACACACGTGATCTGCACACAAAAACATGAGAGGGAATCGAGATATACCTTGCCGTTTTTTTTTTTGTTGTTTTTTGTTTTTTTTGGCACATGCATATAGTAATTATAAGTTCGAAACATACTCTACACAAGCATATGAATGCAAGAATATGTTACAAAAGATAAGAAGAAATATTTCAGGTGAAAAAGATGTGTCTTTAGACGTTTTTTTGAAAATGGCTAAAGACTCAGCTGCTCTAATTGAGATAGGCAGGTCATTCCACCAGCTGGGAACAGTCTAGGAAAAGGTCCGTGAGAGTGATTTTGTGCCTCTTTGGGATGGCACCACAAGGCGTCATTCCCTTGCAGAACTAGCGAGTTTGGGTATATTGTTGCAGCACCAGTGGTTGTCTTGTAGGCAGACATCAGTGCCTTGAATTTGATGCAAGCGGCTATTGGCAGCCAGTGCAAAATGATGAAAAGAGGTGTGACGTGGGCTTTCTTCGGCTCGTTGAAGACCACTCTCGCTGCTGCATTCTGGATCAGTTGCAGAGGCTTGATAGTACATGCCGGAAGGCCCGCCAAGAAAGCATTACAATAGTCCAGTCTGGAGAGAACAAGAGCTTGGACAAGGAGTTGTGCGGCCTGCTCTGATAGGAAGGGTCTCATCTTCCTAATGTTGTATAAGGCAAATCTGCAGGACCGGGCCATTGTAGCAATATGGTCTGTCAAGCTTAACTGTTCATCAATCATAACTCCAAGGTTCATTGCTGTCCTGGAAGGAGTTATGATTGATGAACCTAGCTGTATAGAGAAGTTGTAATGAAGTGCTGGGTTGGCTGAGACTACGAGCAGTTCTGTATTAGCAACGTTGAGTTGAAGGTGATGGTCCTTCATCCAGCCAGAAATATCTGTCAAACAGGCTGCAATGCGAACAAGCTACCGTCAGATCATCAGGTTGGAATGAGAAGTAGAGTTGAAAAGCCATGATTCTGAATTACAGATCCTAATGATGACATGTAGATGGAGAAGAGAAGTGGTCCAAGCACTGAGCCCTGAGGAACCCCAGTAGCAAGACGTTGTGACTTATGGCACTTTTCCACTGCATGGTACGGCATGGCACGCTTTTGGGGGGTTTTCCACTGTGTACAGTACCTGGTACCTGGTGCTTTTTTCAGTACCACCTCGGCTGAGGTTCCAAGCGTACCGTTAACAAAATGTGACGTGTAAACCCTGCTGATCACTGATTTGCCGGAGAGAATCGCCACTGCCTTGAACTTTGCATTGAACTTGCGACACAAGACACTAGACCCGCTAGATTAAATCAGCACAGCCAGCGAGGATCGAATGCAACTTTTTTTGAACGAACGCAACGGTTTCAAATAAGAGCACCTTTTTTAAACAAAATAATGGCTGTTTCGTGGTCTGTTGAGGAAGTACAGACATTCCTCTCGTTGATAGCCGAGGAGCGGATCAAGCAAGAGCTTGATGGGATGACGCAGAATGAAAAAGTTTTTCAGGAGGTCACGGCAGTAGAGGTGGCGCAACATGTCTATAATCCCACCCTCTCTAAAGTGGTACTAAACTGCAGTGGAAACGCAAACCGAGCCGAGCCGAGCTGTACCGTACCGTGCCGAGCCTAGCCGTACCATGCAGTGGAAAAGCGCCATTAGAAACCTCACTCCTCCAAGACACCCTGAAGGATCTACTTGAGAGGTAAGACTTGAACCACTGGAGTGCAGTTCCTGAGATGCCCATCTTCATGAGGGTGGACAAGAGGATCTTGTGGTTAACTGTCAAAAGCAGCAGACAGATCCAGCAAGATGAGTACTGAGGATTTGGAAGCTGCTCTTGCCAGTCTCAGGGATTCAGTAACTGAGAACAGGACAGTCTCAGTTTTTCGACAGAATTTTCAGACTTTTATGTTTTCACTGTTACATGGTAGGAGGTGCTATTACACATCTTCTGAAAGAGTGCTGAACGTCTGGATCAAAAGAAGGCGAAGAAGAAGCAGAAACAAGCGATCACATGCAGTTGTAGCATCTGCATTGTGAAATGCATTATACGTTTTGTACTATATTTTGGGTTAAAACATGCAAATGGGCCATAAAGGGAGACAAAAGAAACTTCTCCCGCTCAAAAATTCACGCCTGGTATTGGCTATTCCACCCAAAGGTGGGTGTGAATAGAAAACTCTCAAAAGTCATTAGCTCGAAATGATCTTTGCTCAGAAAACCTCTTCTTTTGAGACGACACTAAGACTCCTCAAGAAATCCCTTATATTCACAATCGATTGCCTCTGTTTGCTGCTCACAATTCGAAGTCACTGAATGTTTGAACCCTTGCTATATGCTAAATTACTTCTAGCACTGCATACAAAAAGCTGATTTACTACACAGTATGTAAGCAGATGCATATGTAAAATAACGTGATCATCAAGCATTAAACAGCATAAAAATCAAAACTGTCTAACATTACCGAATGAGATGTCATGTTTTTTTTTTGTTTTGTTTTTTTAAAGCAGGGGCTCTGTTCTTTCTTTTGACATATTGCATGTTCAGATATTCATACAGTAAAATATTCTTTGGGCCATGAAAATTTTGTGAAAATGATCAAAAATGCTGGTGGTGGCTGGCAAAATAATAATAAATAAATAAAAAACGCTGGTGGGGAAAGAGTTAAAAGGCAACAAGAGATGTCTTGTAGTAGGAGTGAGGACTATAAGAAAACCAAAATCTAACAAGCGGCCATTATTTAAAATTGCATATCTCTACAGTCCGTTTTCTCATTCAGGTCAATTATTGTCCAGCAAGTCACTTTGAAAATGGAAAATCGTAAAGGAACTTGGGTCTTGTGCAGCTGACATTTCCACCACAGTAGCGCAAGAATGCAGCTAAGTTTGTTTAGCATGGCTAAGCATTCGCACCTGCATTTGTGTACTTGTGTAAAGTATGTTTCTGGCCTTATGCTGATGAGCAGATCTGAGGAGAAGGTCTGCAGGGTTTCTCAGGCATGTTTATTGTAAGGAGACCTCTCGACAGGTTCCTCTGGAGTACTTAAGTACTCTCAGCATATTGCAGCATTCACTGCGATTACCCTCATTTAACAAACACAGAATACAGAATACTGTAGTTAGTCACCCAGAACGTCTCCAGTCACACTCTATATGGCTGATTAACTCATTTTCCAAGTGTGATAGGAATGGAGAAGAATGCACAATTTTTTACTTGTAGTTTGAAATCACCATTTTCTTCCCTCCGCATGCATTTGGCTCTTCAATTTACTCTGCTGATCTCCAGTCTGTTTTAATTTATGTTTTTATTCTTTCTTTGTACTTCTTTGGCAAAGCTCTGTGCTTAGGCTGCCAGGAGAACTGTGCTGAATTTAATTGGGAAGAACTGAAAGGCAGGGCAAGCGTGAGATGTTAGGACGGTTTAGAGGAGAGAGAAAGACAACATGCACGAAATCATCACCAAAAGAAAAAGTGCAAGACTGTCTCACCTGAAGGTCTTGGGTAAGTGTAGGCTGCAAGAGAAAAGAAATGAGAAAAATAGTGACTACAGGGCCTTCTTATGGATCAATTAACACATATCAAACAAAATTATACAGAGGAAAATGTAAATATTAATCTAACAATTACTATATTTTTATATATAGTGTGTATATTTATGTATTTGCTCTAATAGCATTCAAGAGTTTTTAACTGTTATTTTAACCAAATTATTAATTTATTATTTGAAAAAAATAAGTAAATGAAAAATAAATGCATAAATAAATGAATGAATTAAATCCAAAATAAATGAATCCAAATGAGATTAAAAAAAGGTTCAATGTAAGTAATAAAATATGTATTTAAAAAAAAGTTAAAATAGTTAAGGCATGCTTTCTAGTAAAACAATGCATGATATTTACCAACATATATTTTACCAAATATTTGAATATAAAAGAATAAAAACAATATGAAAAAAATAAAAAGCATTTACTTACATATACTTTCATTTACTTAAATATATCTTACCAAAGATTTTAATTTAAAATTTTAATTAAAAATTTTAAATGTATTAATAGTAGTAATAATAGCCATAAACAATATTTATTTACATATATTTAACTGAACACTTTAATATAAATAAACTATATATACATATACATAAAATAAAATTAATAAAAACCACACACATTGTTTACTCAGCCAATCAAATTACAGGACTGGAGCAATTTTGTGTATACCGCTTTGACATCACAGAAGAAGGGTTTCATGTCTTCCAGCAATCCATTTATTCTGGAGGTTGGCCATTTTTTGGTCTGGTTAGAGTAAATGCTGAGATTGGGAGTTGAAGATTGAAAGACTATCCAGTGGGATTAGATTCTATCAGCCGTTTCTGAGATCCAGACTCAGCTCTGGTGCTGAAACCGCTGGCCTGTTCCTGCTGTTCTGTAGCCATCAGCAAACTTAACACACGATGGCTGCCACACGCTTGACATCTCAATTTAACATAATCCCGAAAGCGAAACCTCACATTTGAAATGCATGACCTCTGTTGATGGGAATCATGAGGATTTTAACAATTCTGGCTCTGATTCCCATTCCACAACTAGCCCAGCTATGCTTTGCGCTTGCCCATATAAAATAAAAAATAAAAATTCATCAAAAATGTTATACTTCCTACCTGAAAGAACATAAAATAATGCATTTCAACTTTAAGATAAAAATAAATAGATGCGAGTAGCCAACTGACAACTGAGATCTTGCATACTGTAATTCTTAAATGTCTGGTATAAGTGGAAGGTCACTTACGCTCTGAGTACTGGATGGTGCGCGTGACCGTGTTTCCAGTGCCGTAGCTGGTTATGGGAGTGAGGCTGACCTCATACGACAGGGGAATACGCAAGTCCATCAGCGTGTAGGACATGAGCACACCTTTCACTGGCTCTTTAGTGGTGGTCTGTTTGGACAAAACTGTCTGTCGGTTCTGCAAACACAAGAGAAAAAGAGTTTAAGTGTAATCATGCTATGATCATGGTAAAATAAGGTGTGAAATTATTACCATCTTCAACATATGAAATCATATACACTACTGTTCAAAAGTTTGGGGTCGGTAAGATTTTTTTTCTTTTCTGAAAGTCTCTTATGCTCACGATGGCTGCATATGATCAAAATAAAGTAAAACAGTAATACTGTAAAATATTATTGCAATTTAAATATAATACATATTCTTGCAATTTACATCATTCTAATATGCTGATTTGCTGCTCAAGAAACATTTATTTTTATTATCAATTTTGAAAACAGCTCAATGAACTGTTGTAAATTCAATGAAAGTTCAATGATCAGCATTTATTTGTAAAATTATAAATGTCTTTACTGTCACTTTTGAATTTAATGCATCCTTGCCTTGAATAAAAGTATAATCTGCTTTTAAAAACATTTTGGTAAGCCAAAATTTATTAATGGTAGTGTATACATACATTATATGTAACATTATATATTTCCACTTTTTAAAGAAATTATGTTTATAGGTTGATGTCTTTTGTGCTTCCATTTGTATAAAACACATGAATACTTTATACCTTGTTAAAATAATAATAATAATAATAATACAATCAAAGTTGAATTTATAGTCACTTAAAAAATGTAGCACTGTTATCATTCCTCAGCTGGTTTTTAACAGAAATACCCAACAAAAATTAAATGCATAGGGTGGAGTGAGGGGAAAAAAAAGATCAATTTTTGTTGTAACTATGGACTATGCTGTCAAGAGTGATGCAGAAGTATTCACCATGAAGCTTCCACTGGTGATGTACCTGAGAGAAAACGCATTTCACAGTAAGTGATCTAATTTTCAGCAGTAAGAAAAAAAAGTGTTTTAAAGCTTGTTGTTTTGTAGAACATCACAGTTATATATGATATGAGAATACTAAGGCCTGTAGAAAGGGAGTGTGTGCTATTTAAAAAAATATATATTATTATATTTTCAGAATGACAATTTTTTTTCAAACCTAGTCTGTGGGGTAAAACGCCCCCAGGGGGCATAGCATAATTTCTGTAGTTATTGATTATATTATTTTTAATTTTAAGCTAAAACTACTTGTACTCAGATTTTGCTGTAAATGTATAAAGCAAATTGCTTTGTCAGATTGGGGGCATTTTACCCCACCTGTGGGGCAAAACGCCCCCTTGGTACAAATGTTTAAAATCTAATAACTTGAAAACTCTATAGACATTTTTCATACTTGGTTTATAATTTATGTCATTATTCTGGACACATTTAACTTTTGCTTCACAGAAAAAAAATTACGTTTTCCCCCACTCTACCCTATAATATTTTGTCTCAGTAGCTCTGACATAATTTTGGACTGGTAACTATTTACTGAAGACAAGTAGGACAGGAAGAAGAGGAGGATAGAAGAAATGTCAATGACTCCATGGACACAAGACACGCTCTTCTGACCATATGACTTTTCACCATAAGCATTTTCACTTTCACAGCGAGGACAGAAACTTTACACTGGAAACTGGTTGTGTCAACACCCAGAGTTATACATCTTTAACCTCCACGAATCCGCAGAAAGCCCTCGGTGCAATGATTTGCTGAGTGCAAGGTCAGCTGCTATCCAGCCACCCTGCTGTAAGAAGGTTCAAAAGTCTTTCCTCAGGCACAACAGCAGTGTGCTGACTAAGAACGCTTGGTGAAACAGATCAACTAGTCATTCTCTACTTTGAGCTACTTTGCTTTCCCATGGGACATCTCACGACGCCTCTGAATGCTGCTGGTTTTGAGTCATTTCTGAAGATACTTTAGCGAAACGTTAGCATTTTATGTGTGTTTGTTTTTTTGACTGAGCTTTGAGATTTTCCCTTTAAATGTGTCTCTTTACTTGTAAAACAGAGCATTTACTGCGTACTAAAGGAGAAAATTCAGTTTTATAAAAACACTCTATGCAAGTCCAAACACTTGTAGCTAATGCAATGCAAACTTTTGCATCAATGCAAGCTTGGGTTTGTTGTATATAAAGCATTAGATTCTCATTGTTGACACAAGGAATGATATAGCAAGCATTAGTTAAACTGTCAACATGTTTACAGCTAAATGAACAAAAACCTACGTAGTTTAACAGCACAAAGATAATAGTGGAGGTATCTCTATCTACTCTACATACTCCATCACAATATTGCAACTCATATGACAGAGAGGGGGGAAAAAATTCCAGGCCAAAATTTATTTCAAATGTCTGCTAAATATATGCTGTAAATAGCATGGCTTAAAGAAACATATTAATGAAATACAGTTTGTTAAAATATTGAATTTGTATTCTGAACAAAATAAATATATTTAGATTGGAAATATATTACATTTAAAACTTCAAATATTAAAATATATTAAAAAATTACAATTTCCCATCTTAAAATGCATATTTTAATAAAATATATTTTGGACAATATAAATAAATTTAGATTTCAAAATATATACTAGCAATATATTTGGCCATTTTTGTATATTTTAAATAGATTTTCCATATAAAAAAAATTAATTTTTATATATATTTAAAATGTATTTTTAGCTATATTTAACTTTTGATTTCTCCATATTTAGCTTTTGATTTATCTTATTCATACAAGCAAACAGGTTGCAGTTTTATTTGATACCACAAAAACCTTCACCGATAATATCTCATACTATTAGCTGTATCTTATTAGATGAAATTAATGTGCGGTGAGCTGTTTCAGGTCAGCTCTCACTCCCGGAGGATGTGTGGCAATCACAGGGCCAGCGGCACTGTGGCAGTCCAGGCTTTTTCCATATGGAATTATAGGAAACATGGCAGCAGCCCTATGGAATCAGTGCACAATGGAATGAGAAATGATCTTCAGCTCTGCATGGAGACCCGGGCAGCACACCAAAACAAGTGTTGTGTGTGTGTGTGTGTGTGTGTGTGCGTGCGTGTGCGTGTGCGTGTGTGTGTGTGTGTGCGTGAAGCTTCCTATTCATCCTTTGTTCCCCCTTTTCCAGGCAGGAAGTAGAAGCATATCTGTGATGTTAACCTGGCTAGTGAGGATCAAATACATTTGTTATCTGTCTAATTAAGTCCCACCATAAACCCCTGCTACTGGGCCATTCACCACGGCAACATGGAGTGCGTGCCGCCACGTCTCCAACACTAAACCCACTTGAGCCTACACAATGCATGCCAAGACTTAACAGCCATATCCAACACACACACACACACACACACATATGCAAACGTGCATCTTGTAAAAGTCACAGATAAATTGTCTCTGCTTGGTTGCTCTTCTCTGTTAACACAAATTTTCTGTGTATCTCTCCTCATCTAAATCACCACACACACACACACACACACACACACAGACTCAGAGAGAGACCAGCGGTGTTTTCTCCAAGGGAAGGGTAGCAGTGCTTAATGAAGAAAAAAGATACGACAAGAGAATAATTGATTTTACAGAAATTAAGCAAATGAAACATTATGAAATATAACATCAAATCTTATATAATGCTAAATATATAATGCAAAATACAGGCAAAAAGTCTTATGACAGGAGACAGTGCCTCCAGTGCCTAATTATCCTGTCAGTATTAACAAAACCGTCCTATCATGTTCGCATTGGTCCACAAATATGCAAAAAATAAATAATAATAATAATAATAAATAAATAAAGTAACTATTTAATCTGATAGCATTTCTTCTGGTTATGTCTGAAAAATTACTGGAACATGACTAAATTTCAGCTCTCTTTATATGAAATGACTGTGATATTTACTAACAATTTGTTTGTATGAAAAAAATCATAATAACAACACAATCAAACTAATATGGAAGCCTGTTTCCACCACTAAATAAAAAATAAAAAAAGGTTATTGCGACTTTTTATCTTACAATTCTGATTTTTTTCACAGAATTGTGAGATATAAACTTGCGATTGCGAGTTATAAAGTCAGAATTGCGTGATATAAACTCGTAATTGCGAGTTAAAGTCCAATTTTGAGGGGTGGAAAAAGACTGATATGTTCTCAGAATTGCTAGTTTATATCTCACAATTCTGACTTTATAACTCGCAATTGTGTGTTATAAAGTCAGAATTGTGAGTTTATGTCTCGCAGTTCTGACTTTATTTCTCAGAATTGCGACTTTATATCTCACAATTATTACTTTTTAACTTGCAATTGCGAGTTTATATCACACAATTCTGAGAAAAAAAAGTCAGAATTTGCTAGTTTGTATCACGCAATTATGAGAAAATAAGTCTGAATTGTGAGATAAAAAGTCTCAATTACCTTTTTATTTTTTATTCAGTGGCGGAAACGGGCTTCCATAAACTAAAGCTTAAATATTTCGTCCACATAAAAAAAAAAAAATATATATATATATATATATATATGCATGCAATATTGAAAGAAATCAGAGAAGAGGAAGACCAAAATGAAAGGTCCATTCACACCAAGAATAATAAGTGTAAAGATAACTATAAAGATGACTATATGACCATCCACTTCAATGCACAGTAATGTTCTGTTTATTAAAAGCGCACTGCAGTTTTGTCGTCTGCTGCTTTAAATGCTTAAGCTCTTTAAAGCAGTTTGGATTCTGATTGGCTGTCAGTGTTTTTATCATTCATCAGCTGGAACAAAAAAGTGTTTCAAATGATATAATTCCACTGTGTCATTATCTGTATAAATATGGTGCGGATTCTGTTATTGCTTTACATTTAGAATTTTTTTTTTTAACTATATCTTTGTCATTATTGTTATCGTCCTTGGTGTAAACGGGCCCTAATGTATTGGACGTTGTCAAGAACGATATGAACACAAGACCTAAAGAATGCTATCGATGAGTGAGATTACTTTATTATTTTTTTTTGCAATTTAAAATTTTGCATTTTAAATAGTGTGGACAAATAGAATGTTATTATAATACTTCACTATATTAATGAGGACATTTGGCTGTCACATGTATA